CAATCCATGATGCTTACATTCTAGTGTAGATGTAGGATTAGTGTAATATCTATCGGCAATTGAGCTGAATGTTTTGTTTTGTTTAAGTTTCTACATTGCCGTAGCTAAATTCTCCGCTAACGTTTGAAAAAAAGACACTAGAATGTTTTTGAACGTAATAAAATAAAATACCATACTTTTTCTATTGAACAGAACGTGAATATTTGTATTGATAATAAAGTGATCTTTAGTAGAATAAAAAGCGTGAAGATTCTAATTAACTCACCATAAACAATCGTAAAATGAAATTTGTGAACGTCCAACAAAAAAAGCTTCGACAAAAACTTCAAGTCGTGCTCGACAAGCTTTCGAATAAAAAGCTAATATTGAGTTTTAGTGTTTTAGGATCATTAACTTATTTAAATAATCTATTTCGTTTATTTTAGTGTTTTTTTTTTTCCGGTAACATCTTTATTATTTGTCCTGGGTACAAAACGATGGACAATTTTTTATTTATTTATTTTTTATTGCTTAGGTTGGTGAGTGAGCTCAGAGCCCACCTCGTGTGAAATGGTTGCTGGAGCCCACAGACATCTACAACGTAAATGCCGCCGCCCGCCTTGAGATATAAGTTCTCAGTATAGTTACACCTCTGCCCCACCCTTCAAATCGAAACGCATCACTGCTTCACGGCAGAAATAGGAAGGGTGGTGGTATCTACCCGTGCGGACTCACAAGATATCCTACCACCAGTAATTACGCAAATTATAATTTTGCAGGTTTGATTTTTATTACACGATGTTATTCCTTCACCGTGGAAGTTAATCGTGAACATTTGTTAAGTACGTATTTCATTAGAAAAATTGGTACCCGCCTGCGGAATTTGAACACCGGTGTATCAATAGATACAAATGCACCGGACATCTTATCCTTTAGGCCACGACTACTTCAAAAACTTAACCTTATTACTCGGTTTCAAAACATATTTGTTGAAAAATTGTTTCTGTTTTGAGGGGCTGGAAAACGACAGTTACAATTAGCGTTGCTAAATGCCGTGAATCCATCTAGCAGTGTCTTCAAGTGCAACGCTATTTTTTTACTACTGAGGTTTATTAGGATTATTTAGATAGAATAATTAGCATTATTTAGGTCTAACATCTTAGATCTAAAATCGACTTCGATCTAAGTTACATTGCTTCGTGATAGCAACAAATAGAACATAGTACTGATCGCCACTAGCTTATACTGGCATGTGACACTAGTATAAATATAAAAACGAGAAATAACTAATTCGTAACTAGATGATGTTACTCACATTTGATCATCTTATACATTTCATTCAGATATCATTTTAGAGTGAATTGAAGCCTCGACTAAAAATGTAATGCAGTTTTAAAAATTAATTTAAACAAAGTTAAAACTTAGTTATCAAGAAATAAGAGTGATTGATTTTGTTTTATCGTTTTTTTAAACGTAACACTTTTATGGTGATCTGAAAAGCACATGTTGTTACCAGAGATTTAAATATACATACTAGAACAGACGTGGAGTCAGTTGTTTTATTCATTTTTAAGTTCCGGAAATAATTTTTAATTTTCATAGTATTTTAACAAATGAAGAATTCATGTAATAATAGGGAAGAATAAACTCTTTTGTTTATTCTTTAGACTTTGTAGACTTTAATTATTGTTTATCTTTATTGTTATTCTAAAATTAAACGGTTCAGCCTCTTTTTTTCATCTGTGTGTTAATCGATTTTCCCTGATTTTTTTCTTTTGGATGGCCAAATTCCAAATACTGGTTAAAACTGGACGGATAAAAACAATTAGTAGATTTTTTAAAATATTTTTATATAAGAAAAACCTACACGGTATCAAGTAAATATGCAGGCACTGCGGTATTGAGAAATAAGGAGTCCCTATTTCATTGTATTTTAACATGAGCACACACATACATGAACCCATACAAATACAATTAAATAATAAATAATCTTTGGCTTAATTTTCCCGAAGTAATTGCTATTTTCGTTAATTTCGTAAATAATATTGAATAATCTTTATAGCGCTGTTACTTGCTTTCATATTGATGTCTTATCTTGTAAGTATAATTCCGTGTTTCTTAAGCTTCAGTATTATCCCGGTATCCCGTTAACCACCGTGTTATTCCCGGTCTTATCCCGGAGCGCGCGGCCGCGTCCCGCCATAACTTAGGTTATGTTTCAAACAGATATTTGCCGCCATAATTGTGCAATTTAAAATTTTGTGAATCCGTGGTTGTTTTTTTTTTCGGTGAGCATTTTTTTATTTATATGTTGTTTTTTCTGTATTTTTTTTTGTATCATGTTCATAATTGTAGTTTTTATTAAACAGATTAGATTAAACAGATTTTAGATAAGTGTGTTTTAAATTTTATTTTTATTTTTTATTGCTACAACAGCAATAAAAAATAAAAAAATCAAACAGCTGCATGAGTTTTTTTAATTTTTTTTATTGCCCTTGTAGGCAGATGAGCATACGGCCTACCTGATGGTGAGTGGTTACCGTCACTCAGGGTCTTCAGCAATGCCAGGGGCAGAGCCAAGCCGCTGCCTACCGTTAAGTACTCTAAAATTACTAACTAACTTGAATAATTTTGTCGAAATGCCAATCGTATGTCAGATATAAGTTATGATATCAGCATTACTGAATTTTATGAGCATCGATGACTATATTCCTTCCAATGGCTTATTAGGAAGTTTCTAGCATCAAAAATATTCAAATAATTCATTTGCATACCTAATTATCTATAGTATTTCCCGAAGTCTCCACAGGTCGTGCATAGAATTTAAAATATGGTATATCTATGGTTATAGTTCGTGTTTATTCAACGACTTAAGTTTGGCCTCCCTTATAGATTTCACGGTTAATTGTACTATAGAGTACTTTTAAAACGAAATCGTAATCTATATGGTATATATTCATTCGTGTAACAAACAAATACATACATACAAACAAATTTGCATTTAACCACAATTAAACAATTTTTTGGATTGGTGGCAGTGAGTGAACGATAAGAAATGGATTTATGCGTAGACTAGCCATAAAAACGGGTCATTTTGTGGATCTGCTCTCACATTTGGATCGAAGACACTTTCGTAGCCATTAATCAGGAAAAGCTACAACATAAATGGCCAAGCATGAAATAAAATCGTTGTGTTAATTTTAATTTCGAACACGGTATTCTGTCAATTGTTACATTATATCTTAGAGCCAAACCGATCCTACTGAAGTTCGGGTACCAAATTAAATAAAGCAATACAAATAACAAACATATCTTTGCAAGTAAATTATGAATTCCATTTGACGCGGGATAGAGCCTTTTCAACTTCTTGCTTTCGTTAGGTGTTTATTATCTATGTATGTATATATTTAAACATATCGAGGGGTATGTATAAGGCTATTTGATTTAAGCGAAATTTTTGCAACTTTATAGGAGAGAGCCATTTAATGTTTAAAATTTGGAATAAAATATTATAACAATAAAACTTCTTCAGCTACAGTTGGTGCTAATACCAAATAAAACGCACCTTTAATTAAAAAGATAAACTTCGCGTATTAAGCAAAATGTGGCCTTTACCTAATCCGGGTATCTTTCTAACTAAATTTTACAACAGCTGTTTCATTACAAAACTGTCTTATTTTGTATCCTAAATATTAATATATACAATTATATTTAATACTTTAAAAAAATATTTAAAGCTAAGAAATAAATGGCTTATTATTATTATCATCACTGGTGGTAGGACGGACCTCTTGTGACTCCGCACGGGTAGGTACCACCACCCCGCCTATTTTCTGCCGTGAAGCAGTAATGCGTTTCGGTTTGAAGGGTGGGGTAGCCGTTGTAACCTTAGAACTTATATCTCAAGGTGGGTGGCGCATTTACATTGTAGATGTCTATGGGCTCCAGTAACCACTTAACACCAAGTGGGCTCGTCCACGCATATAAGCAATAAAAAAAATATATTATTAAGCGAAATGTCACTTAAACCAAATAGCTTTTCGGGTATCGATATGTAAGTTGGTATTTCATTCTCTGGTTCTCGTAGTAGAGAGAATACTTTTTTTTATTGCCGTATATGCCGACGAGCATACGGCCCATCTGATGATAAGTGGTTACCGTCGCTCATGGACGTCAGCAATGTCAGGGGCAGAGCCAAGCCGCAACCCACAATAGATGCCTAATTTGGAGATGGATGATCGTGCGTGACTTGTTCCCTGTTATTAGTATTGGCTTTGTTACCATTTTGTCTCATTATCATTATTATCATTCATGCGTACCGACTTGAAGAATTAGAAATAATTCCCATGAAATTTAGACTTCAAGTTTACAAGCATTACCAGTTCTTTCAAGTTTGTTTACTAAATTTTCCAACCTCAGAACCAACGCTAAATCCATTCACAGGATATTAAATAGCTTCATAGTAGTGTTCTACAATATCTATAGCCTTTTGCAAATGAAGTAACGGAAAGTGTATAGCTTTAATAAATTCAAAAACATTATAGGTTATATCTAAAGCGTGATTCTGAAGTTTTTTTTAGCTCTTTTCAAGTATGTGTTGATAATGCTACTTGTATTACGAATTTTTCCTTTTATTAATTTTTTTTTTTCTAATATAGGTTGTTATATATTTACATTTTTTTGATAAAGATGACAGTATAATTTACATTTTTCGTCAATTAAACAAATTTTTATCACTAAGTTGTAATAAGAGAAAATAGGTAACCCGTCACCTTCCTTCTGTCCGGAAGATACACACGTGTTTTGATCAAGACTAAGAAAACAGAAAAAAAAACACTAATAATAATTTATAATTCGCAGATGCCTCAACATCGCCACGCGTGTTGATCCGCGGGGAAAGTTTATTTTTGTAATAATAGCAAAGCCACATGCGCGAAACAGCTCAGAAAACACCACATGTCAATTACGAGCACCTCTCAATAGAGTATACTGAACTTTTGTAGGTAAATGAACTCAGAGACATGGCAGATTATGATATCATACCGTGCTACGAAGATGAAGATGTGTTTCACGCAAAAAACGAGGATGTTAACAGTTTACACGCGTACTACATGTCGCAGTTCAATCTAGAACTGGAAGGTAACGGTAAAAGCAAGGGAAAACACGATAACTTTAAGTACGGGACTGAAGAGAGTTTCGATTTTGAAGCATTAGATGGCTGGGATAACAATGCGCCCGCAACTAATGTCAGCGGAGCAGATTTCGAAATTATCAATGAAGTAATAGACAGTAATATCAATGAACAGAACATTAAAGAGGTCCTCTTAGATTTAGACAGTATAGACTTTGAAGATAAAAGCAACGGTAACTATGATATCGCTGTTAGCGAAAACCAAAATGGATACGGTGCTAATAATGATTATATTGATGACGAATCACTCATTGACGAGCTTTGTAGAGAAGACAACGAGTCATACGGTTTGTCACCGGATTTCAATGAAGAATATTTAGCTCCGATTAACAAGGAGAAGAGTCAACTTCCTTCAATAGAGACATTTGCAAAACGCTATTGTAACTACAACATTGAGGAAAACAACTTGCAAGACTTCAATTTGAACACAGACTTCTCTCAGGGAAGCTTCGCCGTTAACAATATTGATCATTACAGCTATCCGAATAATATATTGTATAATTTAAACAATGAAAACAAGTATGTCCTACCGGACACGCCGACTAGTTGCAGTGAATTCAATTTTGAAAGAAAGAATTCTGTTTCTGAATCCATTGCGAGTGACATTCAAAGCTCGTGTTACTACGATGAGAATTCGGAAAATTTCGACGATGAAGACTTGTTCGTGAATTTGGATAGTTTCGGACTGACACTGGAAAGGGAAAATGAAAACGTGGAAAATAAAAATCATCAAAGCTCGAAGAAACTTGAAAAGGATAAGTCGCCAGGTTTGAATATTTTGAAATAATCGTAGATAGATAGATATTTTTTTTTATTGCTTAGATGGGTGGACGAGCTCACAGCCCACCTGGTGTTAATTGGTTACTGTTATTGGTTACAACGGCTGCCCCACCCTTCAAGCCGAAACGCATTACTGCTTCACGGCAGAAATAGGCAGGGTGGTGGTACCCACCCGCACGGACTCACAAGAGGACCTACCACCCGTAATTACTCAAATTATAATTTTTGTGGGTTTGATTGCGGGATATAGATAGAAAATAAACAATCTTAATAATGTAACTTTGAAAAAAAAAAGAGCTGCATTTTTATTATTAATTTTCCAATGGTTGTTATTGACCCGACCATACACCGGTATCTGCATATCGTTGAATTTTGGGACACGCTGTATAGAAATAAACAGGCCTAGCTAATTAAGTTGGTTAACCAGCAAATAAATGGTAATTAATAGCTGTGAGTCCCACCACTCAGGCAAGTTAGCTTGCTCATTTACGCAAAATAAATATATATGTTTAATGTACAGGTGAAAGGATTTGCCTATGGGAACAGTGTTACGAGAGATATTCAAATCAAAACACACTAGTTGAACACATCGAGAGATCTCACGTCAACACTTATAAAGGTAACGATAAATTTCGATTTAGACGTTTTTGTTATTAAATTAATTACAATACCTTTTTTTTATTATCTTTTATGTCAGAATTACAGTCACAAGAAATAATCAGTAGATTTTTTATGTAGCTACACTAACACACGTTCCAAATTACACAATACAAATTAAACAAAATTAAGGAGCGGACGGTTAGCGTGGTATGGACATGTGATGCGTAGAGAGAAGATGCATGTGACTAGGAGATGTATGGAAATGGTAGCGCAAGGTAGAGGGAAAAGAGGTCGACCGAAGAGGACATGGATGGAGTGTGTGAATGACGATATGAGAAAGAGAGGAGTGACTGTTGAGATGACGGCTGATAGAAGAGAATGGAAGAGAAAAATTAGCTGTGCCGACCCCACCTAGTGGGATAAGGTGGAGAAAAAGAAGACTAACTCAGGTTTTAAATTGTAGCGGTTATGTAGTGTGTATAGTGGTGGTGATGGTGTGGTGGTAGTGGCACCGGAGCCCAAAGACATCGCAACGTGAATGCCGCCGAGCACCTTGAGATTTAGGATCCAAGTCTCAATTGAATTTAAAAAGCGGCTCATTAGTGCCATCAAAATGGCAATTTAAATCTACTAACCGTGAATGTTATTCGTAACATTGAACATATGGAATAAATAGCCCAAATATCTGATTCGTTGGGTCATAGTTAAACGCTCTAAGCATTGTCCTCTTGTGTATCCCACAGGAGACGAGTTTAGTTGCTTATGGCGCGAGTGTGCTCGGTCCAGGCGGCCCTTCAACGCCCGCTACAAGCTCCTCATTCACATGCGCGTTCACTCTGGACACAAGCCGAACAGATGTCACGTAAGTAGCAATATTGGTGTAGCTTTGGTAGCAAATTGATAATGGATTGCGAATTATTGCGTATTAGTATGCATACGTACTGGAATCGTGACTAAGTATCCCGCGAAGTATTTATCCTTTGCGGATCAGTGCAATTGAGGTTTCAAGATGGAACACGTCCATTTTTTTTTATTTTTTATTTAGATTAATGGACGAGCTCACCTGGTGCTAAGTGGTCACTGGAGCGCATAGACATCTACAACGTAAATGCCTTTTTTTAAAACGATGTTGAAGTGAATGAAGTGTAACTGGTCCAGTACTTATGAAGGAAGCCTCATTCTGTCACATTTGTTTGAATCAAAAGATGATGTCTGGAGCAATCTGTTATTTCTTATGTACACTTTTAGTTCATTGTCGTCCTTAAAGACTTAGTTTAGAGCCTAAAATCCCTTCAAAATTCACTAAGAAGTTCGAGAAAAATCATCCCATAATGTATTCGCACAGCTATATCGTCAATGAATAAATTGTCGACTATCGTGTTTCTATGTATGAAATCGCAGATTCGCATAGAATCTCAGAGGATTTTTTTTTTATTGCTTAGATGAGTGGACGAGCTCACAGCCCGCCTGGTTGTTAAGTGGTTACCGGGTTAACCATAAACATCTACAACGTGAATGGGCCACCCACCTTGAGATATAAGTTCTAAGGTCTCAGTATAGTTACAAACGGCAGAAATAGGCAAGGTGGTGGTACCTATCCGTGCGGGCTCACAAAAGGTCCTACTACCAGTAACATGTTGAAGCAGGAAATAGGTAGGATGCTGGCCTACTAAATTGGGTCATGTCAAGCTGCTCATGTGCTATCCGTTGGTTTAGCACCCGGGCTGCGGGAAGGCCTTCTCCCGTCTGGAGAACCTGAAGATCCACGTGCGGTCGCACACGGGCGAGCGGCCCTACGCCTGCCCGGCGCCGCACTGCAGGAAGGCCTTCTCTAACTCCTCTGATCGAGCGAAACATCAGCGGACCCATTTTAACGCTGTGAGTTTATTGTTATGTTATTTCAAAATTTGTAACAATACTGTTGAATGTTTGTGAGGTTGTATTTGTGTTACGTTTCCACGCCGAAACTAATGGACCGTTTCAGATGAAACTTCATCATGTAATTACATATATAATATAATTTAGTTTATTCCACTTACAACGTATGGCACGCGGGTAGTTACAATAAATTTTGTTCTTCATACAGTTTGTGATAGTCACAGCGGTGCATCCTCGTCGAACACGTCAATTATGACGAAGAATTCGACGAGCGAACTAACTCATAGACACAGCCCACTGAGTGGAAGATTCAGTCAGAAAAAAGTGGAGTTTGAGCGGTTTGTCTAGTCATAAATCGTAGATACACATCTAGACAGCTACGTAACTCACTTCTGTACATCACAAGCCGATACCGGTTATGTTTTACCCAAATTTCCCCTTAATTTTAAAGTAAACTTATTAAAAAATGAGAAACAATTAAAAAATTACAAAATGGAAACGAACCAAAAGTAATTTATCCGCCTTATTTATTGCTTCCAATGGCTCAACAAGATCAAAGGCCACTTGTTCAGTGGAAAGCCCATGGACATCGATAACGTTAATGCCGCCATCCACTTTGAGACACAAGTTTTTATTGTACGACTGCCCCACCCTTCAAACCTTAAAAGTATATCTTAATATTACAGCGACCTTACGCCTGCGGCGCGGCTGGGTGCGGTAAGCGCTACACCGATCCGTCATCGTTGAGGAAGCACATCAAATCTCATCCTCACATCACCAACGTGCCGAGGACCTGCATTCCGGCATCGCGTCCCATCAGGAGACACGACCGGGAGCAGCTGGTTCCGAGCTCCCCGGCGAAGCTGACGACGCTCAGATGTATCAGGGATAAGTTGACGGTACCAAGGTTGCAGCGTCTGTAGTGATTTCACAAATTGACATTTCAAGATATCTTTGAATAATTTTTCTTCATCACCAAGTTTAGTTCCGGGGCTCATCCGGGAATCTGCTTCCATATAAGGTCGTTGTTCACGCGACATCTCTGACACTTAAATGTCTTACATTGCGTGCTCTGTAAAATTTTATTTTTTGATAACTCTCTTGTGTCAGTCATCACGAGTAACGCACTTTGAGACTATTCAAAATCTGAAGGCGATGATTAACTTCGGGCTTGAGAATTAAAGAAGCTTTAGAAATAGGTTATAAATTGAATATTTTTGATATAAATGTGTACTTGTACGATAATGTTTGTAGCTCAAGATTGAAGACTGAAGTGAAAATCTGGCTCAATTCTTTTATATTTTTATTGCATTGTTTTTTTTTTCTGTGTTTTAAACACAATCGTAGGCTATTCTTAGTTTTAATGTGTAAATAATTGAAAATTGATTGTTAATTTCGACTATAATTATAACACTAGTTGTAAGTTATATTTGAAGACTTTAAAATGGTCGTCAATAAATTTACTATAATTGGTCATAATAAGCTTAATTGCTTAGTTCCTTTCAATATAATTTTAAAACCAATGTCAATGCCAAAGACAAAAAAAAATGTGTATTAAAATTTAGAAGACAACATTCGTAATCATCATCATTATTATTTCATCATTTCAATCTTCCTAGAAAGCTGTGCGGTATTGTTACCGTTTGAAATTATGAAATGATTAAAATAATAAAAATGATTATGGCCCCTTAGTATCAATCGTAGTTTAAATTAATATCGAATGTTTAAACTGGCACTGAAGATGAATTTGTAATTTCAATTATATTTAAACTCTCCTTCGGAGCTTAAACTACGTATCTCAAAGTTTAAATGGTTACAAAGGAGCGATTAAACTTTGGTTGGTTTTAAACTGTTCTTTTCAAAATGGCCGCCGGAAATTAACAGCTATTGTTTTGTGTCAAACTCAGTAAATAGAGATATTTATAAACTAATGTCCAAAACTGCATTGTGCAAGGCTCAATTAAATAAAAACAAAGAAACAGTTGAATTCTTTGGGTAGTTTGGACCAAAAAAATTTTTATTGCTTAAATGGGTGGACGATCTCACAGCGCACCTGGTTTTAAGTGGTTACTGGAGCCCATAGGCATCTACAACGTAAATGCGCCACACACATTGAAATATAAGTTCTAAGGTCTCAGTATAGTTACAACGGCTGCCCCACCCTTCAAACCGAAACGCATTACTTCTTCACGGCAGAAATAGGCAGGGCGGTGGTACCTACCCGCGCGGACTCACAAGAGGTCCTGCCGCCAGTAATTACGCAAATTAGGTATACGCTCCTTCATCTGATTATTTACAAGAACACAGTTTAAACCATGATTGTTAATAAGGGCCTATATCGCAAAACAAGTGTTTAATCATGTATTTAATGTTTAATCATCGTTTTACTTAATTGGTCTTCACTCGGAAGGTACAAATGAGATGGTTAAAATTTATTTTTTTCTCTCACTATCTTAGTTTTCTTTTATTCTCTCTACGGGACCAAAGATTAAATTTTAATTTATAAGACGACAATACACCTATATTTGCTCAATTATTATTAAGTGTTTGTATTTGTGTAATTGAAAGGGATATAGAAACGGAATTTTTATATGTGTATCTTCAAGTTTGAACTATGAGAAGAACGGTACTGAAGTAGCGTTCAAAATCACGTACGGTTATCCGACCCGACATTGGGATAGCCTGTGTTATGGATACCAGAGACTGACATACATACTTATATACGTTTAAATATATATATACCTTTGAACGAGCAATTCTTGTCTATATATGTATATATAATCTGACTCTCGGAAACGGCTCAAACGATTTTCATAGAAGTTAGTATACAGGGGATTTCGGGGGCGATAAATCGATCTGGCTACGATTTATTTTCAGAAAATGTTGTTTTATTGGTGTTTTCAATAATCAACTTTATCGATAATCAACTTTATGACTCTTCCCGACATCTATTGGCGAATAATAATACTATTTTTACTGCCTTAAAGACACAACAAGATGGCGTTATAAACAAAAAAAAAAGCCGAACTAAGCTCGGTCATTATCTAGTATACGTTTAAATATATACATATATAGATAATATGCACACAGACAAAGAGAAATCAAACATTAAATTTTCGCATTAAAGGTGTACAATTTCCAAAAATATTCTAAATTGAGTTAATATCCGGTATCATTTGCTATCACTAATATTTTTCTCATAAATACTGTCAAAAAAGCGTAGTTTAGATTTAGTTTTTTTTTTTTTAAGTTTACCTATATTTACCACTCTTACCAAAATTAGTGCATAATTTTCTTTATTCTTTATTGTACGTACAATTAATATAATACAGTAATTGCGAAAAATTATAAAATGGCGAGCTTAACTCAACAATTGAGTTATCTACCAGCTAACTGTTCATAAAGAAGGAAAGCTTTACATGAGTGGGTAGAAGAGTACAATCTAATCAATTTACTTACAATACACAATAACAATAAGAATAATAAAAATAAAAAAAAACACTAATACATAATATATCAGACTATATACATACACAATTACACACATTTTTTCTTATTTTCACAATTTTATCTTACTTACTTTAAAAATAAAAATAAATAAAAATAAATGTTGCAAACATGATTATGTAATATTAAAAACATCACATGTTAAACCTTTAAAAGACTCTCCTGGAAAATTTGTAAGTTTTGAGATTATACAGTTTTAATGCGAGACGACGACATGTTCATCACACGTACGTTTGCCCGATGTGGGAATCGAATCCACGACCCTCGACGCAGTAGTTAGGGCCGCTAACTACCACGGTATCAGTCATGTCGGTCAGTGGATGTCCTTAATGAAATTTATTTGTGTTCTACGCATCATATTATTAATCGGATCCCAGTTATTGATTCCGTTTCTCTTATCCCAATTACTTAAATGTAAAATAATTTTTTTGTTTTTAATATAACTATGTACAAATGCATGCTTTCCAAAGTATCTCGTATTAGGGACCATAGTTTTTAAGACAATTTCCATTATAAAACTGAGATCTCTGTTTTTGCTCATACTGTGTTTTGACACGTTTGTTTATTCGTAAGTAATGTGTTTTCGACGGAAACGTTCGATATAAATTTAATTAAATTTAAATAAATCTTTGTTTCTTATTTATTTGTTGTTGTTGTCTTTTGTTTGTTTCATTCTTCTCATTCAGCTGTTCGATTTTTTTGCTTAGCGGCATAAGAAGGGAAGGCTTTTTTTCTATAGCTTAGGTAGGTGCACGAGCTCACAGCCCACCTAATGTTGAGTGGTTACTGGAGCTTATAGACATCTACAACGTAAACGCACCACCCACCTTAAGATATAAGTTCTAAGGTCTCAAGTATAGTTACAACGGCTGCCCCACCCTTCAAACCGAAACGCATTACTGCTTCACAGCAGAAATAGGTGGGGTGGTGGTCCTACCCGCGCGGACTCACAAGAGGTCCTACCACCAGTGAAAGCTGTTCCAACTCTATACAAATTTGGGTTAACTTTTACGCGATCGAGAAGATAAAAAACTCGCACTAAGGACACTGTTGATGAAGTCAGACTGATCTAAACGACACTATCAGAAACCTACGTGTTATATATTTCCCGTTACCGTAGATTCAAGGCGGTTGACTGACTGAAATAAATCAAATTAAAAGCCTGAACCACCATTACGTATCTCCAAGATTACTGGTAGTAGGACCTCTTGTGAACCCGCGCGGGTAGGTATCAGCACCTCGCCTATTTCTGCCGTGAAGCAGTAAAGCGTTTCGGTTTGAAGGGTCGGGCAGCCGTTGTAGCTATACTTGAGACATATTGACAGATAGGTTGACATTCCACCGGTTATTAATTGATTTCAGAGCTGATTTCAGATAGTAAGGTACTGTTCTGACAAAATTTTACCAGTTCTGCCCTTGAGATCAGAGAAAGGCTCCACTGCATGAGTACCATCCGTATAGTACCTATTGTTTTCCACGAGCGAAATTTCAACATTACCTTTCGACTAAAACGGAAAATGAAAGGAAATTGTTATTATTGATTGTCGATTTCTAATAGAAAAGATGATAAATAGATCACGAATTAGAGCTTTGGGAATACCATTCGTAAAAACAAAGAATATACTTATAACTTTTTTGTTTTAGTAATCAATTGATTTTTTATGAAGTCTTGATGATATTGGTGAAACCGCTAGCACAGCTTACTAACAAGACGCATTGTTGTCACGTGGCAAAATTAGGCAGGATCGTATTGGCTTACGACATTCCCGATACAGCTCTAGGATCGTAAGCGATACACCACATCACGATACATCACATACCCGATCCCGTAGACCGAATGGTAAACAGTCGACGTCGCCCAAAACACGTCATTACGGTTCCTCCCGATCCATTAACGGTGCTTTTAGGTACCACAAGCACCGGTCACCGTTGTCGTCGAACCCGTCGCTTGCGACGAAGGGCTCGACGAGCGAATTAACCCATAGACACAGCCCACTGAGTTTCTTGCCGGATCTTCTAGGTGGGTCGCGTTTCCGATCCGGTGGTAGATTCTGCGAAGCACTGCCCTTGCTAGGGCCAGTGTTAGCAACACTCCGGTTTGAACGCCGTGAGCTAACCTACACGTTAGGGCGAAGCTGAAATAGCCTCTCAAGGCTATCAGCATAGGTAGGAAAAAAAAAGCAATTTTGTCCATATTCCTATAATTCGAAATTCCAGATTTTTTTTTTATTGCCTTTGTAGGCAGACGGGCATACGGCCCACCTGATGGTGAGTGGTTACCGTCGCCCATGGACTTCAGCAATGCCAGGGGCAGAGCCAAGCCGCTGCCTACCGCTTAACACTCTCCACAAGCCTCGTTTGAAGAAGGACATGTCATAGCGCTCGGTAAACACCGTGGAGGGGAGCTCATTCCATA